GCGTTGCTCAGCTTGTTGCCGCCAATGAAGTGGTCGGCGATTTGGTGCTTCTCAGCGTAGGTAGCCTTGCCATTAACATGGGGCACAGTCCGGCCAGTGCCATTGGCTGCTGTGATTTCGGTCATGATTGCGGTATCTGTTGAGGAATTCGCGGGTATCTTAGAAGGTGACCGTCATGAATCAGGGGAGCTCCAGGAGCTTTGATTCGTGGTGATATGACGTGGGTCGCGGGAGAAGAGTTTGCTCGAAGGGGGTAGATTCGAGCAGGGAGATTAATCGTGGAATCTGTCTCTGCAGCAAGGAACAGTATAGGGGGGGTATAGGCAGAGCAATTGGATCGTCGGAGGTGAAGAACAGAGATTTGTTCGAGTCTCTAGAAAGTTGGGGAAACAAACACTCTTGTTAGCAACTTTCTTGTTGGGAGAACCGAGGAGCATGAGTAGCGCTAGGAGGGGGAAGTTTGGGGGGTGGAATGCCAGGGGCAGCAATGGGATGCGCGGGACTGGTGGTTTCGTGCCAGGGAGAGCCGGGCGATGGGCGATGGGCAAGGGACTTGCGTATACGTGTATGTGTGTGCAGGAGAGACTGCGGGCAATGCGGCAACGTACCTGGTTGAGTTGAGGAAGCTTGGTAAGACAATTGCTTCCTTCTCCTGTCTTGTGGCTAAGGACAGAAGGTCTATAAGGTGTGTCAGAAAAGGGAGAATGGAAGGGAGAGAGTGAGAGAGGAGGTCGAAGAAGAGAGGAAGTTGCGAGAGGAGGAAGAGGGAGTTAAGGAGGTGTTATTGTAGTCCGGGGACTATTGGGATTGAGGATTGAGGATTGGGATTGGGGATGGGGACGGGACGAGGGAAAAGGACTGCACCTGAGAAAGTGTGGACTGTGTGGACTGGAGACAGGTACAAGGAGTGGACGGGAGTTCCGGGGTTGAGGCGTAATGACAACAGAGAGAGTGAGTGGGATAGTGAGAGTGAGATGTGGAATTTGGGACCCAAGTGACTTTGGAGCTGGGATTAGATTGGGATTGGGGATTGTTGGAGCGGCGAGGGGCGCGTGGGAATGTCACGAAGCCATGTACCTTTTTCTCGAGATGCAGGTATATCGACAAATAAAACTGGGGTCCGCGGTAGGGATGCGAGGTACCTCGGGGGTACGTAGGGTGTGTGATGGAGAGAGTGAAAGTGAGAGTGAGAGTGGGAGCAGGAGGGAACGGGAAGCTCTGGTTGAGAGGTGTAAACGCCTACTTTGAGATGGTGAGTTAATTAAATTTCCCTCGACACTGCCGCCTGCCGGGGAGGCTATTCTCGATTTCTCTGGGTACTCTTTTGCTTGTGGTCGCCGGACGATGAAAAGAGAGGGAGAGGATCTAGAGGTTGAGGCCCGAATGATGCAACGACGAGAACCCGCCGCGACGAAGAGATGGAGACAAAAGAAGGAAGAGGGGTGCAGGGACGGGACACGACGGACGGCAGGAAGGACGAGAAGCAGGGGAGAAGACGCAGGCGAGGCTGACTGTATATAATCGCATCTCACGATGGGAAAGACCGAAGCAAGCAGTCCATGGCAACCAGCACGAACAGGAGGAGCAGGCGCATCACGAAGGAGCAGGAGCAGGAGCAGGGAGCAGGGAGCAGGAGCTTCAGCTGGAAGGTTTGTCGAAGGTGGCAAGTTCCCGGCCGAGGGGTACATCGGCATCGCGAGACAGGTACTTGCGTCGGTTCCCGAGACCATGTACCACCCACGTACCCCCCTGACCTTTCGTACCTCACCTCTTCTGTTTCGCTCCGCCGGCGGGCGGGTGACGGACCACCATCACCACCACCATTGCCAACCCAAGGATCAAGATCGTCCTCAGCCAAAACCCCCCGTTCAACACGCGCATCGCCAATATTTTGCTTTGAGACCTGACGGACTGTCCTCTTCCTCTAGCCTGCTTCTGCACTACGTCTCGGGATGGTTGTGTGGCCCCCAGCATGGGCTTGGCCTAGTCTGTGTGTGTCTTTTCCCGCGTCCAACCCACAGCCTACGCTCGCCCATTCGACTCACACTAGGCATTCTCGAACAAGCCGGTGCTCACCTCACTTTACCTCTGCCGGTTTCTCTCGCACACATGCTTACAGCCTTGGCGAAACATTGTCACCTCCTCTCTCTCGGTGTCCCCCTCTCTTTCTCTTGTCGTCCCTCAATCCATCAGTCCGCCTCCTTCTGGGCCCCTCCCTCCCTCAACCAATGGCCGGGGTGTTGGGGAAGCTGTACCCAAGGGTGGGCGGCGGACGGGCCAGCGGGCTGCAACAGTCCCTGCCCATGTCTCTCCTACCTGTAGACTTTCCCCCCCATCTAAGCCCAGCCCAGGTGCAGAGTTGAATGAATTGCCCGGCGGCAAGCTTCTGGTGCTCCCTTACGTCGTGTCCACTGGAGGTTCGTTGCAGGTCTAGCCCAGTCCCGATCCGATCCCATTCCATTCGTTGATTGATGGATTGCTGAGGCCGGTCTGGGTTGGGTGTTGTGTTTCCCCCAATTCTGCCATTGCAACATCCCTCTCAGGGCGCTGCGTCAAGGCCAGGCCGAGTGAGGTACCTACGACGGCCAGGGCCCGAAAGCTGTGAGAGAACAAATGTCAGGCTGCAGATCCTCGATGCTCTCCTCCCACCCTGCCAGGTACAGGACCTTGGACTCCGGCCTGGGAACGATACTTGGTTGGGTACTTGCGCCGGCACGTGCATCACGGAGGGTGCTTAGGTACCGATTCCAGAAGCCCATTTCCCAGGTACGTACTTCAGGGGATCTGGTCATCCCAGCGGTTTCTGCCGCTGGAATTTTTTCTGATTTGGACCAGCAAGGTGACATTCTCTCCAATCAAAGCTCGTTCTTGCGCCCGTCCTTATTTTTTTTTCTTCCTCTCCTTCTTTCTTTCCCTGCTTCCTCCCGTTGCAGGCTGCAGCCCTCGGGACGTTATCGATAGCCAAAGCTCCTTTGCGCATCGACGTGCGCTGCTTGCCTGTCCATTGCTTCGCACCTCGAGATTTTGGCGACCCCAACTCTTTCGTCACCTCCTCTTGGCAGTCATGCCTTTCCTCCATCACGCCCTTCAACACCACACGCGACACTGACATGCCATGCGACGATGCCACTAGTTGGAAGACATCGCAACTGGCGCACACATGTCTTCCACATCAATTAAACGGCGTACCTCGTCGAGTGTCCCCCTCCCTTCGTGGTGGAGGATCGGGTCAGCCAACGTCGCCACCCCCGAAACCCGACGGCATCTCCAAACAATGTCCGAAGATGCTGCCAAAAAAGCACCTAATGGAGAAGACGACACACTGACACCGCACCGCACCGCACCGTCGACCGTTAGACACCGATCGTCACCGCCGTATAATTACACCCAGACCCGACACCCACGTCCCGTGAACCCCCTTCCCCCGATTCAGTCCAGTGGACAAACACGTCCAGGAGCCGATACGATGTAGACAATGCGCATCCATTGGCATCACATCTTCCTTGGGCCATCGGCCCCAAGATCTCTGTTGCCCGGCACTGGACACCGGGACAGGCAGGGCCCCTACAGGTTTCACGACAAGGCTCCATCGAGTCCATCCAAAGTACCCAGCGCACCCCTCCAGCCCAACCCCGATTGCGTAGGCGGTCAGCCAGGTGCCGCCAGGGGTGCAAGCCTCAACAACCTAACCGTCGCCTCGCTTACGCACCTCTAAACCGCCTAGCCTCGCTGGTTCTCCGTCCGGGGACGTCCATCAGCTTCCGCTAGCCCTCCAGGCGTCAGGTCCCCGTCAACGCCTCGCCGGGATGAGGAATGCTGAACAACGAGCGATGAGTGGTGATTGCCCGCGCCCCTCCAGGCCAGCAACACCGCAGCCAACCAACGTCTCAATTCCTCCTCCGTCCGCTGGCTTGGACTGACACAATATGGTCAAACGCTCTTGTCTAAACCTCTTGTGTCTCAGATAGAAAGGACAGACGGGAGGAGTGTGAGCCACGCCAAAGTCTCTTTCAGTCTCGCATCGTGCATTCCAACCAGCCCAATGTCTTGGGGAGAAATTCACCATTAAACTTCTTCCCATCGAGCCAAGCGTCCAGCCAAGGGACCACCATGCCGATAAGGGGCTACGTGGGTACGGAAGCATGGTATCATACCGCATAGAACTGTCAGGCTGTTGTTGTCTTCTCCTTCCATGTTCCCCCCAATATGTCACCGAAGCAAGCCTCTGGGCCTTGGGTTTGGAGATCCACGTCGACGGCAAATGTCGGTCCCCCCAACAATTGGGAATTGGGACACAATTTGGGGGTCCCCTTCACTGGGCCCCTTCCAGAAATGCCAGGGGCAGCCCACGCACCAATGAAAGAAGGGCCAAAACAAACAGGCCCCCCACCCATTGAAGGAAAAGAGCACCGCAGAAAAAAAATCGCCAACCAGCGCCAGACCAAAAGAGAAAATCTCCACCCGCAGATCCCCAACATCTTGTCCGTCCATCTGTGGAGCCCGTGCCACGCCCTGCAACCCATTGCAGCCACACTCTCTCTCTCTCTCTATCTCTCTGCCATGCAGCCAATGCGGCCAACGCAGCGCCAACGACATCAATTCGCCATAAACCGCAAGCAGCTGTCCAAGTCTTGCAGCCTCAGCGTTCACTCTTGCACCCACTCGTTGGAAGCCAACTTTGAGTAGACTGGGGTTGACAACGACAATGCAACATTGAGAGACCCGCGGACGAACGCCCACGCCCCGTTCGGTTCGCTGCTTGTGCCGTTCGTTGACTAAGGCTTTGGAGCCTCAACCCTGCTCAACCATCTGGACATACGGATATAGACCAGCGCCTTGTGTTGTTTCTCTGCAGCCTAGACGCTTAATCACACCCGTGTCCCCATGTACCGCTGCCCGCTACCTCCGCTCCGAGCCGAAACATCCCTTTTCCCATTATTTCTTTGCGCCGAGGTCCCAATGCCCAGTCCCGGCCTATCGAGTCCCCGGCAATGCAACCATCACGGCTCGACGACGTGGCGCGGACTTCCGTTCGCCCATTCCCACCGTTCTGAGTCCTTGTCCCCATCACATCTCCAGAGGTATACACCACAACGCCTCAGGGCCTGGAAATGACCGAGCATTGGCCCTCCAGGTCGTCCCGTCATCGGCGCCTCGTACGGATACCGGATGCTACGCTAGCCCCCTCCAGATAGACACTTACACGCGCTAGAGACGGGGCAAGCAGATCCGATCCTGTCAAAGCTGGAGACGTACCACCCGCAATCTGGCACGCCCACTTGAATCCATCATCCATCGTCCCTTTTAGAGATACGATATCTCCCATTGAGACGGTACCCCACTCTCACCCAGTACCGTATTTTGCCATCCTCCCTCCTGCCCGGGGCGGACGGACTGTGTCTGTGCCTCTAATAATAGCCAGGCACTCACTTCACCTCCGACCTGTGACACCGATGGACTGGAGCCAGCGGCGGTGAGGCGTTCGCTTGCGAGGCCTACTCAAGCCAGCGGGACTGATGGAGCGCCCTGCCCATGAGCCACCTCTATAAGATCGTGAACGGATACTACTATCACCGTTGCCTACAAATAGGGTCTGGTCCCCGCGCCCGCCGCTAGATGTTCACAGGTCCTCTCCCCCCACATTGACGCGAACGAGCCGCATGGAACTGTGCCTGCAGTACCGCAGGACCACTGCCGGCCGCATCGTGTCTCGAGCGGCTTTGAACGCCGGTCTTAGCTCCCCGTCCGAACTGATCTTGCAGGTACGTGCGTTGCGGCGAGCGGTCGGCCGTTGCTCTGAGACCGCAGCTGCACGACAGCATTAGCCAGACGACGTCGGTTTGGCCCAGCTGGCATGTCGCCTGTGATATCCTCCGCTGAACCGGGTCCGACCGAGATTTGGACGAATGTTCGTTTCTTACTATCAGATTGTTTATGTCTCGCCGGCACTCCGCAACTCACTCTTGTTTGATCGGCGGACGTCAAAAAGTGAAAGTTGGGATGGCCTCAGGGGGCGGTCTGTCCTAGGACGTACCGATCTCTCGGAACTGTTTGCCTAGTAGACTTGACTAACGCCACATACTGGTACTTGGCTCGATACAAGAGCCGCAATGAAACATGTCGTCCGGGACCGGTAACGCGGTCCTGGTTCCTGCACCCTGCCGATAATTGTCACGGCTCCGAGGCTGGCCTGCAGCGGGCTTCATGGTACTCACGTAGATCCCAGGTACCTTTTATGTTCGATCCAAGCTTGTAGATTTGACATGTCGGCGCCGTTCAACAAGTGTCGCTGTGGATGATGTGCATGAAGCTTGCTGTTAGGAAGGAGCAGAGGCTTTCCCAAGCCGAGACCCCAGACCTCGAAAGTGAAGTCTCGGGAGTCATCCCTAAAATTCACATGAGCAGCGCTTGTATGATATTATACACCTTGTCTCCTAGTCGAACTAGTGATCTCATTAGTGGTATATCCTCTACACCTCTGCCCAACACGCGCGCGCTGACAGATGCCTGTCGGCTACCACCGAGTACACACTCATGCTGTCCCATAACATCCGCCATTGTACGCCTTCAAGGGAGAGCATCTCCCCATCCTGCTCAGTGTGTTTCTTTCTCCCGTGCTCTCTTGACGAGACTGTAAGATTAAAGTTGCGGTGCGGCATCTTCCGTCTGGCTCACGCGGGCCCATAACATCTGCTAATCCAGAGTGGATGAGGTGATGTTGAAAGCGAGGAGGCCGAGCCGTACACCCACTCGGCCTCATTTCGAGCTTCCGGGCTGGGCACGGCACTGTGTTCATGCTTTCAACAGTACCGGAGCCTGCTTCTGGCTGGCTGGGTTCGTTGTCGTGAGCGTATTGGTCGGCGATGCCCGCTCGCCTTCAGCCGTCACCTCCATCTGCCGCCTCCATCCGCGACGACCACTTACCGAGTTTCGAGGTTCCGGAACTACAGAATACATCACAATTATTCTCTTCGTCTACTCTATAGATTACACATGCGTGAAGTGGCATCTGCCCGCTTGGTTTGCGTGCTCTCACCGGCGGCGATGGGTCTCGTCCCGCCTCGTAGCGACGACGAGTATAAGCGGCAACAACAGAGTACAGGATAGATAACTAACGAATCAAAATAGAGTGTGGTTTTCTCTGTATAAATTAGAAGAGATTTTATCCAAACTTAACCCCAGTTCTGTGACGTGGCGCGATGTAATTACATTTATAGCCTTTACTCGCAATATTTATATCGTGCCAAAATCAACCAATACCAAATTCGTTCGCTACTAATTAATGGATTTTCCCTCTCATATTGCGCAGACTGGCACACAAAAAGTGTAACAAGCATCATCAAGATTTGTAATAAGATATCTGTGACACAGGTGATCCACCACATTGCATCCTTCCCTCATTCATCCTGCCGACGGCACCCCAACTCTGTCCACCACGACAGTGAGCACTGTGTGGCCGACAACCAACCGCACCACGAAGACGCGCACCTCTCGTACACCAGAGACCGGGGGGAACTACCCATCGGATTTCCGAGATACCCACGCCAAGAACGCGGAACACGTCGTCGCGAGGTACCTCCACGCTCCCTCCATGGCTCGGCGTCTTGGCCGACGGACCGGACCGGGCTATCGGCGCGCGGGGGTCTCCGACTCGGTCCGACTCGGCCTCGACCAGCGCCGAATCGGCGACAGCCCAAACGACGGCGACCACTCGCACAAACTCCTTTCATCCCGCGTTCCGATCTCCGCCCCTCACCATGCTAGTGACACATCCCCATCTTGAACCGCAATGCCAACAACAACAATCGCCGGTCGAGACGTTTCACCATCCATCAAAACCTCTTGTTCACTCGGGGCCCAGGGCATCATGACGATTAGAGGCATTAATAATCCGGTATATTCAGGACCAAGGTGTGGTTTCTAACGACCAAAGTGGGAGTTGGGAAGAATGTATGTATGTGCGTTGCGTGTAAAAAGGCCCCTTTCGCGAAAAAAGCGTAATGAAGCCACCAAGGCACCGCCATGCTTTCCCCGTCCAAACTCATAATCATTCCAACGCCCTGATGCAGTTGTCCACGCCCGTGGCCCCTCCAATAATCATTGTAGAAACAATAGACAAAGGAAAAAAAACTCTTGAGACTTTCTGTCCCATAAAAATGAGAGAATAAGGTAATGCGGCTTCGCTGTGCTCGCAGCTTCTGTGAACCCCCCTCCTGGTGGTGGAGTCAAAAAACAACGTTCCCGCCTCCTTTGGTATCAAATCTGCCTCCGCGGGTGTGTAAGTTGTTCAAGCCTGGCTAATACGTCTCCTCTTCGACTAGTTCCTGAGCGCCACCCATTATGGAACTCCTCAGGCCCATCGAACTTCGTCTCCCAGAGACACTGCTTCCGCTCTGACGTCGCGAGCTGGGCATCGGAATGCTGCTGGTGGGCAGAGGAATACCGCTCATGGCTGTTTCCGCCTCCAGGCGAGAAAAGGTTCCCCTCCTACTGGGTGTTCTGTACTCGCCAGTCTCGTCGCCTTCTTCGATATCGATGCGGCTACTGATGCTAGCGGAGCGCGCATGGAGGTTGCCTCCGAGAGAGCTGCGGGGGCGACCTAAAGGCGTCCGGGTCCCAGACATGCTGGTCCGGCTCATAGGTCGGGGAGGCGCCATTTCCGTGCGACTCGAAGGCCGGGCATACGACGAGATACTAGCCCGCGAGCTCGGCCGGGACATTGTGGGCTCGTTTTCGTGTCCAGTTCCAGCCCCGGGGTTCCGGTTGGGCAGTGGGCCAAAGGACAGACGGCTGACACCTGACGTGCTCAGACGAGGTACATGCTTGGATCTTGTGCTGGCTGAGAAGTTGGAGTTGGATGGAGTGGTGTCGTCGCGCGATGCGGTGGAGCCCGTGGGACGCTTGCGAGAACGGATGGTAACCGTCGAGGGCACGCTGTGGACTCCTTGTACCGAGGAACGGGGCGAGGCTCGAGGAGGTGTCGTGACAGGAGCAGGGAGCTTCGATCGAACATTGTGGACACGTGCTTCCAGACGCTGCATCTGGGCCGTGAGGGACCGGATATGGTTGAGAGAGTTGTTGGCGGGCATACGGGTAGAGATGGAGCGAGGAGCGGTGCGAGGGGCGGGTGTTCTTGTCGGCGCCCCGGTAGAGAGACGACTACTGGAGATGGACGCCGTGAACGACCGGGGCTTTGGCGTGATGCTGTGTTCGGTCGAGGGCAGGCGGGACTTGCGCGTCGCCGATGCCGGAGTTTTGGCCGGGGTCTTGAGGGGCGTTCTGGATACGATTCTCTTCGGTACAGATGAGGAGACGTCGGACATGGGCGGGGACGGAGGCTCGCTGATCTGAGAGTTTTTGGCAACGGGAAGGGCTTCGGCATCGGGTGGGGTCGACACCATAGGCGAACTTGCCGTGGAGCCAGGAGAGGCATCCAATGTCTTGTCGAAGGCCGGAGATGAGAGAATGGAGAGGTCGGTGGAGATGGCAGACAGGTGGCGCGCTTCCTGCTTCTTAATCTTGTCTTGGAGCAGCTCGGCCTCAATCTTGAGGTCGGACAGCTCCTCTCGCAAGCGTTGCGCCTCGATGCGCAAGGTCTCACGCTCTTGCTCGCCAATCTTGATTTCTTCCTCCAGCATGACGCTGCGTTCGATCGCGCTGTTGAACTTGGACTCGAGGTCCTCGAGGGACGAGCTTGTGTTCCGGGCCTGCCGCTCAAAGTCATCGTTGGCAACCTCGATATCGCGCAACTTCAGCTGCAGAGTCCTGTTGGTGTCGCGCAATGTTGTGATTTCTTTCTCCAGGGTGTTTTGGGCTGCGTTCGCATCCTTCTTTGCCTGGTTGTATTTCGACTGCCGGGACATATGAGTCAGCGCTGGACGTCTCTCCTTGCATGTGCGTCAAGGGACGGAAAGAGCCGGCGCGATCTTACCTTCCATTCCTCGACCTCAAACTTGAGGCTCTCAGCCTTTTCTTGGAGTTTGCGCTCCCTCTTTTCCGCCTGCTCGATGTCCTTTTCCAGCTCCTTTTCCAGCTCCTTACTCGACTCCCGGAACTCGGCCAGCTCCTCCTCGAGTGATTCGTACTGGGACTTGTACCAGCGCAGTTGGTCTTCAGGGCTGGTTGCCTCGTTGGGCGGCGAGGACGGTGGCTCTGCCATGGCTGTTGTTGTTATTGTGACGTCGTTGTAATGCTTAGTCGGATGGCATGTGACGCTCGGCGGTTACGACGGGGTTAAGACGCCGTGGTCGCAAGGGGGTGCGGATGTGGGGGAAAAAGTGCGGTCGCGAATAGAAAGTAGTCGAATAGATACAAAGGGAACTTGGAATAACCGATAACAGTGATCGTGAGAGTCGTGAAAAGCGTGCTGTCGAGCCGTCGTCAGTCCCGCTGTGTCCCAAACCCCAACGCGATCGGGGGAAACAACAGACGAGGGCACGTACCGACTCCAAGGTTCTTGTTTTGTTGTTGTGATGGTTGGGTATGTCGTAAAAAAAAGCGTGGGAGGACAAGTCCTAAGAAGAAAAGGAGCCGAACAGAACGGAATGGCCGGGTTGTCGCGTAGTTTGGTGTCGGCCGAGATCGTATCGGTGGTCGATATGGTCGATGTGGTCGTCGTGGGTGGTCGGGTCGGGTTTGGGCGAAGGCGCAGCTGACTTACCGGGGGCTCAGTGTCGATGGTCGCTGGTCGTCGGTTGTCGAAGTCGTCGTCGTCGGTGTCGAGATGTCGGCGGGAAGGAGCATCGCACGCTCGATGTCGATGTCGCGGACACTTCAGGGACTGGACTGGACGACGGGACCGACTAGTAAGGACTGCTGGGCATGGCTGGGACGGGAACGGGAAAGGGAAAGGTCGGTGCAATGTTGATGTCGGTCAGGCGTGCGGTGGTGTTGCTGTTGCGGGTTGCCCCCTGTCGCCCCTTGTCGTGGCAGTGCCGCCTTTCCTGATCGGGCATAGTCTGCTACCACGGGCAACCCAAGGTAAGTGGCTGGAAGGGGTTATGTAATCACTCGTCGCAGACGGGAAGGGGCCACTCAGACTGACGGAAGGAGCGTCGCTGGTGGGGAATGTGCCTTTTTTTGGCCGTCGTCTTCAGCACGCAGAAAGCAACAGCGGGAGGTACGTACCGCTGCACCCGTCCCATCTGCTGCGCTGTCCGCTGCCCCTCCTTCGTCATTTCACACACGCAGAAAACAGTCAAGCTTCAACCACCTCGATTTATTTCTTTGTTGCGGCCCCCCAACACGTCAACGGCGAAGCTGTCCGAATCAGGTGGGCAATCGTGGGTACTGTAGTGGGGGCTTCTGTTCCTACAATCCCCCATCCTACCGACGTCTCTTCAGCGCTGAGAGAAGAACCCGATTGCGGCATGTCGACGAATCAGCAGGACCAATACGTAGCCAAGCCGCCATCACGTCGTGTCTCAGTGTCCGTCCCCCTCTGCCTTCACCAAGTCAAACTCTCCGGCTGGATGCGAGTGGTTTTTTGCTACCCTCTGCAAACGCGCAACGAAACAATGCTGGTTGGTGATGATGACGACGTATCAACAATGGAACTTAGACTATGACTAACACAACCACAACCATGAATTCAACCCAACCAAACCCAATTCCAACCTCGGACGACCACGGCTACCAGCAGGGCCGCTCCCGGGCTGCCTTGACCTCCTAACCAAGGCCATCCCAAGTTTCGGTTCATGCAATGCACTGATCCTTCTCGCTCCACCTTGTCCCGTTTTCGCCGTCCATTTGGTTGGTGCTGCAAGTCGGTCCAGGTCCAGGGCCGCCTGCACAACATTGGGCCAACCCGACATCGCCGTGGTCGCTTTGTTGTGCTTTGCGCGACGCCAATCGATGCACTGCGGGAGGCTTCAGTCTTTCGGAGACAAACGAAGAACGGCGGTAGGAGAAGAAAAAAAAACACCCCCAGGTGCCATGTTTCAGCGGCTGTAGCGCTAGCCGCTCAAATCCCGGTCCGCATGACACCAAAAGGTTACTCATCAGTCTCATGCCCCCCAACTGGTGAGGTTCAAGCCAATGGGCGATGATCGGGTTCATCAACTTCTTTTTCCACATGGTCATGCTCTCATGCAAGCTGACCCCAGAACAACGGCGACCTAGGTAAATTAGTTCGCACGGGAGATCCTCTTCATCTAGCAGGGAGCGCCGTTCGACTGCTCCGCGCTTCTTCCGCTCGCAATTTCTGACCGGCCCGCGATCGTCACAGCCGTCGCAGACACAAGGCCTTCGTCCTCAAGTCGCTTCCGACCAGCGGGCCCTATTGTTCCTGGCGGGCCAGACGGACGGTGCAGCTTGCTCGGCAGACGCTGATCCAATCATCCAAAGATCGATCTCGTCCGTCTTAACTACGGCCCCTTGGCCGAAAGAGGCTTCATACCGCCCGATGTTTCACACCAGCCGCTCGGGAGTGGCGGTCATGGTGTGTGCTCTCGGGCCATTTACGCCCTGCAGCCAACGGCCGTCCACTACGTGCACTGAAATCTCCGTCACCAAACAAACGTGGGAAATTAGGGGTCCATGGTCTCCCTTCACAACAGCATTGGATTCGAGTCAAGCTTGCGCAACTCTGCGGTATGACCGTTCGTATTCCGAATCGTCAGAACCTCAAAGTCCGCTTTTCAGCTTGTGATTATTACTGAGCCTTTTGGGAAGAGACTCGCTTCAGGACCGAGCTTGAATCTACCATACAATGCCAACGATACCAGTCGGTGGCACAGTGTTCAGAGCAATCTCGGCACTTCCAGTTCCGTATGTGGCTGCGAGATCACCATAAAACCCTGCCAGTCTATGCTTGGCAAACGATCTGATGCTCGGACTTGGGCGCGACGCCACGCACAATAGTCCGAGAACCATTGGGAAAAACAATCTGAGCCTCAGCATCCATAGTGGCTGGACTCTCCACAACCACAGGCTCGACGATGCCGCCATTGCGCCACACGAAAGACGCGAGCCAACCGCCCTTGGTGCAGACACGCGTGAGCTCGCCCTCAGTCCAGCTCTTAGGACATGATGGTAACAGCCGTATTTCGACTATCCCGGACTTCGAGTCTCCAGGCAGTATGCTGGACTGAATTAAACACTCAAGAATACCGGCGCACCCGCCAAAGTTGCCGTCAATCTGGAATGGTGGATGGTTGTCGAGCATGTTCGCCAATGTCGAGCTCTTAAGCAACATATCCATGTGTTGACCGCAGCCCTCGGCGTCCAATAACCTGGCGTGGAGGTTGAGTAACCATGCTCTACTCCATCCTGTATGTCCACCACCATGTGCTGCTCTCCGCTCAAGGACCCGTCTCGCGGCGTCAGCCAAGTCTGGTGTTCTTGCTGGGTTGATACTTTTCCCCGGGTACAAACCGAACAGGTGAGAAACATGCCGGTGACCCGGCTCATGCTCCTCATAATTCTTCAAGCCCCATTCCTGGATCAAGCCATTGGTGTTGATCGCCAGTTCGGGCAGCTTGCCAAGAGCTTCTTCTACCTTCCCACGCAGTGATTCCTGTCTGCTTAGCACATCAGTGCTCCAAAGAAACTTTTCGAATGCGATCCGAATAATGGTCATGTCGATAGCGGAGCCCTCGCATAGAATACCGGCCTCGCCCGACCTCGATATAAATGTGTTCTCGGGAGAGAGTGAAGGATTCGTGACCAAGTACTTTCCGCATGCCGACGGGATGAGGAAGTCGAGGAGGAAGATGATGCAGCCCTCCAAGACCACCGCCGCTCGTCTGTGGAGGTTCTCGTCGTAATGATACTGCAGCATCTCGAATACGTCGATACAGACCCAGACTCCTCCGAGAGGCCAGATGGTCGAAGGCATCCATCGATCTTGAGGGTCTGTGTCTGCCCAAATATCCGTATTATGGTGCGCACACCACCCTCCACAACCGTACATGGCTTTGGCCGTCTTCTCCCCCCTCTCAGCCATGCGCTCCAGCAGATCGAGAACAGGAATAGCGCATTCGACGAGATTGCAAGGCCCGGCTGGCCAGTAGTTCATCTGCAGGTTGATATTGATAGTATACTTACACCCCCAAGGCGGCGCGAAGGAAGGATTCCAGATGCCCTGCAGCGTCGCAGGTAGCGCCTTCTCAAAGTTTCGACTCGACGATATGAGCAGATACCTGCCGTAGTTATGATACAAAGCTACTAGACCGGCGTCTCGTCCTTTCTGAATCCGCTCATCCGTAGGAACATGGCTAGCGTTCGGCCACATACGAAGTGTCGTCCGTCCGAAGAGGCTCTGATAATCGGTTCGATGGCGTCTGACCAAGACGTTCCACGGGAGTTTCAGCGCTTCCAGAACATTGCTGCGGGCAACTGTCTCTGGATCAAGTGCTCGATACGTCGTCTGGGCGCCAATGACGATCATGCAAGATGACGACTTCACAACCAAGGAGTTACCGATGGTCTCCACGGACCCTTCAGCATCGTCGCAAGCAACTCCCAGGGCAATGGACAGTCGGTTGCTGTTTCGGCCACCCGGGGTCGCGTTCAGTGTGATCTGCCCATAGCTTGTTTCGATACTATCCAGAAACTCGTTCGTCTCCCACTCGATGTCGCTGACCCGGTCGAGCCGCACTACGAATCGCGCTGGTTTGGAGGCCGTGATCCGAAAGGCCACCACGTTATCCGGAAAGCTGGCGATGGCGTCTCGACGGTAAGAGACTCCCCGGCATCGATACTCTACTGTCGTCTGCGCGGTGTCAAGACATAGATGCCGGCGATAGTCCGCGATGTCCTCGGCACCATGGCCTAACTCGATGGTGCAAGTACCTAGCGGCTCATAGTGTCGCATACTCGCGGGCGTCGCGAAGAACGCCTCGCGCACCAGACACTCGGCCTCGGCGTGCTTCTCATCTCGGATGAGCTGTCGGAGTTTTGGCAGGTGGCGGAGCGCGTCTTTTGGGGTCCTGTCCTGCGGGCCGCCGTACCAGACCGAGTCTTCGTTCAACTGGATGAGTTCGGTCAATGTTCGCCCGTAGACCATCGCGCCTAGCCGCCCGTTGCCGATTGGTAGAGCTTCAGACCACTCGGAGGCAGGTGACTGGTAGTGGAGACGCAAAGACTGGTTGCCCTGATCGGACCCGAGTGTCTCTGAGCCATCCTGACGGGACATGTTTTGTTGGAACGACGAGCCGGTATGCCGGTGTCTGGATCAGCCCAAGTCGAGTGCAGTCTGGTTTAGCCTGGGCCCTTGGCTTGTTTTTGCCTTGGAGATCTTCGATTGGACTGTTGGAAGTTTATGGGAAGGCAGTAGACAACTCTGATGTACTGGTGATCGGGATCTGTCCGTCTGGCTGATGTGCGTCTTTCGAAGACAACGATAGTCGTGCGGCACTATCAATTTGAACCCCAGACAACCCACGAACGACCGGGGTAGATGCCCGGCGTCGTATTATTTGAGGAAAATTGGCTTGGGGAGTGTGGGGTAGCCGGCCGGCTACCGCCTCGAGCCAATCATCACGGGTCAAAGCAAGCCGAATATCCTCATTCCGGTGGTGGTGTGGTGGCTAGTCCGATCCAACTGCGTCTCTACAACCGTCGAGACCAATCACCATCGGCCAAAGCCGCTGCCGTCCTAGTTGTGCGTGGATCTTGGGGAAATGCAGAGTTTAGTCTGCAGGCGAATGGACGAAGACGGCATTTGATCTGGACTGGCACGTCTGCAAGAAGCATCTCATGTGAACCACATGGCCAGTTGGAGCGTCGTGGGAGCCCTGTCCATTGCCTACATTTCCCAAGGTTCGAGACTCAACTGTCGGATGGCCACTCCGTGTTGCGCTAGAAGGGTAGCAGTGCAGGATGTAAAAGGTGCCACCCTGGGTCGTCTCCCGGTCCCGATACTGAGGTTAGGAAAGGTCTATATATCCGCCGAGACACCACACACTGGAATCCGAATCCCTCGGACCCAGGAACTCGGGCTTCTTGTTCATGTTCACCAGCTGAGTGTTTTCTTCCCTGTCTCCTCCTGATCGACGAGACTGCAAGACCCCTTATCTGGGTCCAAGAGATCGTTCCCGCCCACCATGGCGCCACGCGAAGAGGTTGACCATACGGTCATCTACCACGATGATGTCGCGGAAGCGAACAAGATGGGTGTGGATGTCGACGAGGTTGCAGCCACCCGCATCACGGAGGCCGACATGATGCAAAAGTCTGCCGAAGCTTTCTCAATGAGGTCCAAGTCTGGCCTCTTGGTCATCGGCTATATGTTCGTCATGGCCTGCAACCAAGCGGGGTAAGCAGTGTGTCTCTTTGCTCCGAGTTCCTTTCGTGAGATGGTTGTGATGGAAGCTGACGAGATGAACATAGTTACGGTGTGGACTGGGGCGTCATTAGCGGCATCAACTCTAATGACCGCTGGCACGACTATTACGGATTCCCCAACTCTGGTGTCATCATCTCTACGATCAACGCCTTGATGCAGATTGGCGGCTTCCTGGGTGCTCCCTTCCTCAGCTGCGCCGATGTTCTGGGTCGTCGCGGTGTCAACTTCCTCGGCAACTTCCTTGTCGTCATCGCCGCCATCATGCAGGCCTTGGCCCCCAACCTGGCCTGCCTCATGGTCGGCCGACTTGTGCTCGGCTTCGGCACAGCCCTGTGTACGGCGCCCCAGTACGTCGCCGAGATTGCGCCCATCCACCTCCGTGGTCGCATTGTCGGCATATTCGGCGCCTTCTTCCAGGTCGGCTCCATCATGATGCTGGGGATCATGATGGGTCTGACCAAATTCGACAGTGACTGGCAGTGGCGCTTGGCCTTCTTCATCCAGGCCATATTCCCCATCACAGTTTGCATCTTCATCTACGTCCTCTGCCCAGAATCCCCTCGCTTTCTTTACATGCGCGGTAAGAAGGACGAGGCCCGCCGCGTCATCGCGCGGTACATGACATCAAGCAACGACATCAACCACGAGATTGTCGACCTAATGATCCTTCAGATCGAGGAGTCTATTGAGACAACCAAGGCTGGCTTCCGTGCCACCTGGGATTTCCGCGTCTTCTTCACGCGCTCTGTGTGGTTTCGCACATTTGTTTTGGCCGTGTACGCCGTCTTCCAGCAGTGGAATGGGTATGGGTTTTCTTTCCATGGGCAGTTTCCTACTTTGGGCCACTTGCTAATCTAGATTTGTAACCAGAGGCGGAATCATCGGCTACTACCTTGCTCCTGCGCTCGACACCATCGGCATCACGGGACAACTCGACCAGCTCGGCATCAGCCTTGGCTCGACTTCCATCTACTTTGTCTTCACGCTCTTTGGAGCCTACATTATCGACTACTTCCGCCGCCGCACGCTTATTTTCGCTGGTCTTGTCAGCATCATTCTCGCGCAGACCGCCGTGACCATTACAAGTTGGCAGTACAGCCTGAACGAGACCAAGACGACGGCCATCCTAACGGTCGTGTGGATCTTCCTCTTCCAAGTCTGTAGCGCCAGCTTCATCGCCACAATGCACAACCTCTACCCTGTCGAGTTGCTGTCGCTGCCGCTGCGTGCCAAGGGCATGGGTCTCTTTGCCATGTTCCAGGCCATCGCCGCCGTCATTCACAACTACGGCATCGGTATTGGCATCCAGAAAGTGGGGTACAAGATCTGGGCCGTCTACATCATCTACAACTTCATCCAGATCTTCCTCAGTTACTTTGTGTTCCCCGAGACGAGCAAGCTGAACCTCGAGGAGATTGACACCATCTTCGAGACCTCGGGTACCAAGCCCGTCAAGCTGAGTATTAAGATTGCCGATGCCAAGGCCTCCAAAAGGAAGCTCGATCGCCAGAACGCGACATCTAGCACCTAACAGCGGGTGCGTTCATTGCTATGTCGAGCTTGCGCGGGGTCGTCTGTCAATGTTCAGCGTTTAAGGGTAATGGGTCAGCGTCTCTGTAGTTTCATAGGTCATGATATCCAGTTGACGGCAGCGTCGGCCAGAGATACTCAGAATAAGAGAAACATTCGATGAATTTGCGATAACATCCCTTGTCATGTAATGTTGCGGGCTCCTACAAGATGTAAAGACTTGCAATGACCTCCGGCAGAGTACGGATTCATTTGATAACTCTGTTCTAGGAGAGTCTCTTTACTGTACTCCGGTCCATCTCAATTTTGGCGTAGGAACTACTTCCCAATACGGGTATTACTAGATTCACGAAACTCTTGAACACACTGCGCCCCTTTCACATGAATGGCAATACTCCCAAAAGATGTAAACGCGCGCTTTTCTGCCTTTGCTACATCAACCCCTCTTTTGTTCCAAAAACACTCTGGACCACTAAAACGGCCTTAAACGGCCCCAAGTCCGCACGAAACCAAAGATATCGAGACGACCAAAAAGAAATATACGAAAACATCAAAAGGAGTGATCGAAACGAGCACTTGCATTGACAAGAGTGGGATTCGAACCCACGCCAATTACTTGACTAGCACCTGAAGCTAGCGCCTTAGACCGCTCGGCCATCTTGCCTTGACTGTTGATGAAATATTCGACTCACAAGCAGAATAAGAAAGACTGGCAGCAAGGGCAAGGCCCCGGAGTGGGGAATCGTGCATTTTGTGTACCGTGGATTGGTTGGAAAGGATCCATTTAGCTGTGGAACTCAAAGAGCTGTTGGCCGGGCCATGCAGTCTCGAGCCAGAATTAAACACTTTGATAAGGACTCTTGTGTAACCCAATCTGCGCAGTAGTACCTTGAGGTATGGTTCAATAAGGCTAGAGCTTCCCGGGACGAACAAGTAACCAGAGTTTGCAACTGATCCAGTGGCTTGAACTGTTTGTGAAATTACAGAAAATTCCAATTTGTAAAATCACCTGTAGGAGAAGTTACTCTCCACGACTGATGAAGCAGTCCGAATCGCGTTACGATGTCTACAGTCTTACAGATCCCAAGTCATAGCGGCCGTACCTCTGTGCACCCACGATACCGCATGTCCACGTGCTTAAAAAACGTAGGGAACGAACCGCGCCGTCGAAGCATGCCATCGTTCCCACTTCTCCCCGAACTCCGCTCTCAGCATGCGCTCCTCCTCCCGGACTCTTGTCCACACACCAAATAGAAACACCGAGCAGGCTGCAGGACCTAGAACCCACTCAATGGCCCTCAGACTCTGATGCACCGTAGGCGGGATCCAGCAGCTCAAAACGCCGTCAAGCCTAGCTAGCAGAGCAACGTTCGACAGCACCAAGACCATAACGCCCGTGTAGCTCGGATGCTGCACGTGAGCATAGATCCCCGTGGTCTTGAGCTGGTCCGGCTTCGAGAGCTGGAAGGTGAAGTTCTTCCCCAGCGACCGGTAAGGCCCGAGGCGGAGCGGAATGCCTGCGAAGAAGATCAGGGCCAGCGGCAGGAATGTCGAGCATGACCAGGTCATCAGGGAGGCGCTGAGGCCGTTCTCGGCGCCGTGACGGAGGGCGGCCGGCGGGATGTCCGGGTAGTAGAAGGCGAGGGCCGCGAGGTGGAGGGATAGAAGAACCAGCGGGAGAAGGATGACCTTTGGAGTGTGTCGGTGGGTAAGGTTCATCCAGCGGATAGAGTCTGCATGCCTCGGCTGTCCACGCTCTGAGACGCTAGGCTTCTGAGCGGGTTCGGGGTTGGGGTTGCGCAGGCCGGCGTAGGTCCCGGCCGTCGAGGCCAGGATCGCGAGCGACAGTACCAACTGAGATATGAACATGTTAAAAAAGAAATGTGCGCCCTGCTTCGAGATGATAGAAGCCGGTGGGTTGTAATGAGTGAGTGCGCACAGGAGAAAAGACGTAGAGTATCGCTAGTACCAAATCCCGCGTGACGTTTGGATGGTGGCAAAAGCACGGACCAGTGCTATCGAAAGGTACTTGACTTTGCTAGCCTTTGACGACAAAATAAAAGTTCTTTTGATACCCCTGCTAGTGTCGTCGTTATTACGTTGGGGTGTTCCCTACGGGGTTGATTGCCTTGGCATCAAATTCCTGTGGACCCTGAAGTTGTTGAACGCACAAAGTTTCGATGGGTGAATGTTTAATCTGGCCCCGCTCAGCCTGATCAGGGACAGAGTATTAGTATGAGTTTTCAGCGCTTCTTGGTCACCGTATAAACCACCAGAGGCCACGATGCTTGCCAATGAAAGTGAAACCGATGTTTTGCAAGATAGCTCTCGAGACATCATACCAGCCATTCGCCTTCTGGCCTCTGGTCCTTACGTCTTCGTTTAATGTTATTTTTGAAGTGACTTACCATCACAGGTCGAAATTCGTCCTGCTTAAGGAACACATTTGAGACTAGAAGCACACCTGTTCGATGTGATAGTCCCTGAATGATTTCGGCGCTGCACTGCCTGGATACTGCGTTAACAACTACGTTACTAATTATGCTGTTGGTTCGACTGACGTAACTTATAGCCATACCTACTGAGCATAATATGTTAAGCTAGGTCTTTCCATAGGGATGATGAATGGGAAGTTGAGTGCGTAAAAAATGCAAAGTTAGCAATGCTTCGGCTAGACAAAACTTGCAGTCTTTCCTTGATGTTAACGTCGCCGCAGAGAATACAGCTTACAGCAACCAGTTTGGAATAGGTGTAATATATCCATCTGGGGGTGAGAGAAAACCACTAATTAAATAAGTTGTAAATAATATAGTCTCTAATGACGTATGAATGCACCCGCATTCCGCTGTATTCATATTAAGCCATGATACTCAATCCAAGTCTATATCCCGTCAAGCGGCGAAACTTACATCAACGTACATATCTCGGACCCTGTAGTCGAACGAGCTAACTTCCTATACCTCTTGAACAATTTTCACCTCTGGGCCTTCGATCTTTTTGACCTTCCGCCCCTCCCACCATGACATCAGACCAGCAAGCATGGCGACACCGCATCCCAAGCCAATGAAGGTTCCAGTTGCCCATGACTGGGTAATGTGTTAGTTACCTCAATTGCAACAGGCAGACGTCGATAGAAGACTATTGGGAGTTGCGCTGAATCACTTACTGGTCGGTCAAGCCGGTTGTATCCCCACATGAAATAACACAGTACAGCCTGCAAGAACGTGTTCAGGACCATCATCCAGATGGTAAATCCAAGCTTCCAAAGTGGCGTCGGCGGTGCAACCTGGCCTGTAAACGTTTCGGGTACCTTCTCGGCTTCGATAGCCCACGCGGGCGGCCTGAACCAGCTCTTGTTCTGCGCAGCGAGCTTCAGCATGGCCGTCTGGTTTTTGAAATTGACGGCCCGGACGTAAAGATACAAATCACGAAATCGCCAGGGCGCAAGGCCGAAGCCTGTTACGCAAAAAAGCGCATTGAGGATCTGACTGCAGATTTCGAGCCACTTTTTCCGGGGTGAGTTGTCGTCGTCGGCGGTGGGATAGTTCATTGCCGGGGCGGCTTTGAGGAGCAGGAAGAAGAGCATAGCCTAGAGCAAGAAGTCAATATCACATTCTCAATTCTTCTACTTTACACGCACTTACTCCCCAAGCCTACAGAACGGGTGTTAGCAAACAAAAGTTCAAGCATGCAACCCAAAAGGGCTGATTTGCGACTTACGACAATGTTCAAGCAGTAAATGGTGATGACAAATCCTGACGGCGTGAGGAAAAACTTCCAAAATGCCTTCAAGCCGTTGGTGATCGTCGTTTTCCACGGTGCCTTGTCCTTCGCCATGTGCTTCTGATGCAGGCTCTGCCGTCGCCGGAATTGCTGCCCTTCGCTGGGTAGTAGGCTTTCATCCGTGTCGGGCGGAGCCTCATCCGATGTTCCGGCCAAGACGGACGGCTCCTCGGCCTCCCTGATGTTCTCGGACTTGTCGTTGAACACATTGCGAAACCCGGGCTGCCCGTCGTTGGAGAACGTCGAAGTGCGCCGGCCTACAATGGGTCTAACGAGCGCCAATTCACCTTGCGGCTCCTGGACGGCGTATCGCGCCGAGTGGCCCTGCGCATTGAACCCGATGTTGTCGCCGCCGGAGTCGGTGTCGCGAAGCTCTGTGAGGTTAGGCGCCTGCGCGATTGCTGTGCCGGCGGCCTGCCACATGCCCAATTGAGGGTTCGCGTTCATGATGGAGATTGATGCGCTCCTGACACGGCCAACGATGCTGCCATTGTCGGCGGTTGGCTCAGCCATGGCTGAGCGGATTTCCTGACCTTGTGGAAGCGTCGGATACCGCGGGAAGTCCACCAGACGTTGCGGGACGCGCAGGAAAGGGTGTGACTGGCTTTTGGCGGCTGTATTACGTTGGCGGACGGGAAACTGAATTGATGCAAGACACCTCACACATCAATTGAACTCACGCAAGATGTCATGTCTAGCCAAGACCAGAAATCTTCCGAAAATATCTATCGAGACGGTGGTGGGAGAAAAACGCCCATCACGTGGGTGGGCCAGCACCCGCGTATTTGGTACGACGTATTGGAGCTAATCTATGAGAATCCATGGAAAAGTCTAAATTGTTGCCTATCCCTACGGATGCAGATCCTGGGTTAGCTGAGGCCAAGGGACTGCCGTGATTAGCTAGCTCCGCATTCTTCACACATCCGGTCCCCGGGGACCCGCTGTTTTCATCCCCCAATCCGACTTGGCGAGAGTCGTTTTCGGCTTCAGCCACTGCTGCTAATGCAATGAATCTTGGGACATCTCCGCTTCGGCAGTTTCTTTACGCGAACCTATTTCTAGGGCGCGCCATGGGCCTTGGAAAATATGGAAGACAACGAGGATGAAGATAGTTAGTTGCTGGATATACCAGCATTCAATTGCCGGGCCATGCCACCAGAGGCAGTTTGAATGTACATCCGAGCCAACACAATGGTGAATATCCTGATACAATAAGTAAATACTCAAGCGTTATTCTTACTGCTTTCTCATTATGATCAAGTCGTAAGCCGCTGTGAACAGGCTGTACTACCAGCGAACTTACGAGTTCACCTTTTAGGGTAGGATCAAGACATTTGAATTGATACTACGGGATGCGTGAAGAATTTTACTAAGCATGGAATTGGCGGAGCACTAAGTCCATGTCTTTATTGACTACAGTAGAGTTGATTGATGGTCTTTGTTGCTGATCTTAGCTGGCATAGCGTGGTCAAGGAACTACCGTCGAATCAAACTATATCTTTGGCACATTGTGAACTACGTTATGCTGGGAGGGCAACGTCGCTTCGATTTCAGCACCCAACGCCCACCAGCCCAGGCCCCACCAACGCCGGCGTCCAACGTCGCTTTTTCTATAAATCACCACTATCAAGTATTGCTGCATTTGACTGTGTCACTGACTGGGGGCCTAATACATTTGGGACATAAATCCGATCGCCAGTTGCCTCTAGGTTCTTGTCTGCGGTTTCTAACAGGACACGAATTCGGCCAACTGATCCTTAATTTCGGGAAAACAAAATGAGGTAGTATATTCATTGGGTTAGTATACAGCATCTTAGCCTGCACCTTTATAAGGTATCATATGGTGTAATGTCCCATAACTGGTGCATAACAAAACGTTCCATTATACTACTTTAGTACATACTGTCTCTCAGCATGCAGCTTGTTGGAAAGACGTGGCTGAAAACAATAACTAGTTGTGGCTGTGCCCCTATTCTTGCTTGTTCAGGGTTTCTTGGCCTGGAATTCCAGGAAGTATGAGCTGATTGTGCGCCACCCGAGAGTTCTGAACTAACGAGATGAATCTGACCGCTGTCTTTTTATTCCTCATTCAACAAACGCGCATTATCCGGGAGTTTAGGCCAAAGTCAGTGTTACAAGGCTCTCGCCAAATCCGATGACATTACAGGGTACACACAATGCCCAAACTGCCAACGCTACTATTCATTCCGGGCTCTTGGCACAAGCCTTCGTGCTATGACAAGATCACTTCACTCCTACAAGAGAACTATGGATTGAGATGCATTTCAATCAACCTCCCGTCCACGACTGGGGATCCTACTGCGACCTTCAAAGACGATATCGACGCCGCACACCAGGCTCTATCTCGTGAGACAGCACAAGGACACGATGTGGTGGTCATTGCTCACTCCTATGGCGGCATGGTTGGCAACAGCATCATTAAAGGATTTGCACGGCCACGAGACGCCGCCAAGAGCAGCTCAACCCCAGCATCATCCTCCACCAATGAACACCACGAAGACACCCCATCCGATGGCCATGTGATCGGACTCATTCTCATCGCCTCGGGCTTTACCTTGACTGGACTAGCTTTCATGGACCCGCTATTTGGGCGTCCACCTCCTGCATGGCGTGTCAATGACACGACGGGATACGCCGAGCTCGTCGCCGATCCTTGCGAGCTCTTTTATCATGACCTTCCTCCAGAAGAAGCCGAATTCTGGACATCTCAGCTCACCACGCAAAGCCTCAAAGCACTGTTTGAAGGGGGTGAATATGCATATGCCGGATGGCAGGATGTGCCTGTCTGGTATCTCGGCACTATCCAAGATCGGGGATTGCCGGTGGTGGTGCAAAGGATGCAAGTCGGCATGGTGAGAGAGATGGGGGGTGAGGTGGAGCATAGAGAACTTCAGACGAGCCATTCTCCGTTCTTGAGTCAACCAAAGGACACGGCCATATTTGTAGTGCAGGCTGTGGAGGCATTTGTAGGAACGTCGATCGATGTCAGACTGAAGAGAGGAGTACGAGCTGATGAGATATTAGTCCCAGTACCTAGACTTTGGCAGCCTTTGACGTGGTTTCGATTTGGTCTTCCTTTGATATTCGGCCGCATACTCGGGAGATCATTTATTATCTTTGGCTGGGGACGGAGGCTTTTCAGGTCCCAGTAGTTGTAGCAGCCATGTCGATATGACAACCATCTCCTCTCACTTCTTTTAGGGCGATCATAAACTTCCACGCCAGGCTTCACTGTATTAATAAAACCAATTCTGATACTTCCTACCTATTCCCTAGTCTCTCTCTTCGTAAAAGGCCTGTGACTGAACATTAAGTGGAAGTGGACGGCGTCCCATTTGGCAAAGAATTTCTGCGATGTATGTATGGCGAAACACGAGGAGGAAACCCGTTCGGCCACCGACCAGCCCAACATGAAAAGGATCTTAACTGTTACATAAGCCGGACATGGGCTTACTATTTAGACAGACCCCCAGGGTTAGATAGAGCAATACAACTTACTTCATACACACTAGGGACACCCTAATAGTATGGTAGCATAACCGAATTTTGATTCGGGGACTACTACTAATTCTTTTTAACTATTTAATTAAAAAGGACTAGAAAAGATTATAGTAACTATTGCTGACTAACAATAATTAGTCCTAAGTGTAGATATAGTGTTTTGCTTATCCTCTACCTAGACTGATAAAATGACCTCTTTAACCTCCTAACTTTACCCTAATAACCTCTATCTATAACTATACTTCTTTTTTTAACCTCTTTTTATTAAATTAAACCCTTTTTTATTAAAATTGACCCTAAAAGACCTTTATAATCTTAGATATTTAGACTTTTAACTAATTAGTTAAGTAGAGCATGTTGCTAGATAACCTTAAATAATACTCTACTAAGCTTTTATAATATACTAAAGTAATTTATTTATTTAATATAATTAATAATAACGTTAATATAGCTAAGTAGTTACTAGTAATGATTCTAGATAATTTAGATTAATTTATTTACTTTGATATTAACTATTTAGTTAAGTAGTTAATAGCTAAAGCTATATTTAAAGCTTTTTTGTAATATTAGAGATAATAAGTAATAAAGTACTAAAAAGCTCTTAAAGTATCTAAATTAGCTAATAACTTAACTAGCTTATAAATGACTTTAAACCCTTAAACTAGACTTATAAGTAAATAATTTAGTTTTATTAACTTTTTATAACTTTTAACTTTAGATACCTTTTAATAATAGAGGGAAGATAGTAGTAAATAAGTTACTACTTCTCTTAATTAATTACTACTTTCCCTTTATACTCTTTTATTAGTTAGATAACTATAAGACAACTACTGTGACTAAGTAAGTATTAAGCAACCATAAACAATAGTAATAGTAGATAACACAAAAAATCCTTAGTAGAATACAGGTTATTTAATTATTACTTAAATAATAGAATTATTAGCTTTAGTAATAGATAAATACTAATAAGATATATAAAGTAATTTCCTTAATATATTGCGTATATAATACTAAATACTATAAATTAACTTTATAGATTTAATAGTTAATGCCTTTTAATAAAATTGTTAATAATATTTACTTTTTGTAGTAGTAGGAGCTAAAGTAGCCTTTCTTGTATAACTATGCTTAGTGGATATAGGTATTTTTAACTTGGAAGTAAAAGACTTTGTATAATTAGGTATAGTCTTAGATGGGAAACTGATAATATATACTGACATTTATGCCTTTATTGACTAACTAAATGACCTGGTGGTGACTAGATTAGAAGACTAGATATAAGAAGTGTGGATATAATGTCTATAGAGTATAGTATTGGTGTGGTATACCTAAATCCTAACTTAAGTTGATTATAACTTGCTTTGTATAGTAATAGTCTTAATGATTACTGCTAAACTAATAGAATAATTCTGACTATACTATAGTAACGTAATATAACGCTGGAAGACGGTATCCTATGGCCTGTATGATGTCTAGTAGAACAAGGACATGTTAACTTATGTCTAATTAATGATTTGTGACACTAAGGTATGTAGTATTATAGATACTACTAGCTAGTTGTGAGCTGTCTATGAATTATTTGATGGGGCTATCAAGGGTATTATTATTCTGCTAAAAGAGTTAACTATATTTAATGATTTCTTATAGGATGTATAGGACTATAAGTCTATAATGAAAATAATGGCTATAGAGTGTACTTTTTGCTAGGTTTAGTAGAATTAGTAGTTTTAATAGCTTTTTGTAGATAAGAATTTATAGACTACTTTATATAACTGTTTTAGTTGTTTTGTATAAGTAGTAAAGAACTTAGTTAACTAATTTAATTAGAATTTATAGAGTAGTAGATATAATAATAAAAACTAGATTAACTTGTAGTAAAGAAGGATAAATCCTTAACTATAAGCGTTTTAGACTAACCAAGGATTCTAACTGTAGTGGAATTAGCTGAACTAGAACACTAGATTCTTGATAATGTACTAATTTAATTAATA